GATAGATAGATAGATAGATAGATAGATAGATAGATAGATAGATGAGAGAGATAGGATAGAGATAGATAGATAGATAGATAGATAGATAGATAGATAGATAGATAGATAGATGAGAGAGATAGGATAGAGATAGATAGATAGATAGATAGATAGATAGATAGATAGATAGATAGATAGATAGATGAGAGAGATAGATGAGAGAGATAGGATAGAGATAGATAGATAGATAGATAGATAGATAGATAGATAGATAGATAGATAGATAGATGTCAAATGCATTCTGAAGTCCACTCAGTTCTGTTCCTGCTTTAACCTGCAAAATTTTAATTAAAACCAGTAGCATTTTAAATAGCTCCAATAGAAGAGAATATATGTAGCTCAGGGTTGAACTGTGTAGTCCTTGGTGCTCTCTGAGCTTGATTGATGGCTTGCAGACATTTCATTACCCGACTAGGTAACATCATCAGTGCGAGTGAATGTGGGATGTGCTCCTTGTTTTTATATAGTAGCTTTTAAATAGCCTTGAAATATATAGCTTTGAATGTGTTTTATCTAAAAGTTACTTGTGTTCAGAGCTACATGTTAGGTTGCCTCCTCCTGTTGCCAGTGGCTAACCAGGCAATCAACAGAGCTGCCTACCAGATTCCGGAGGGTTAATAAATAACACCGGGATCCGTTATCCATCTCAGGCCCTAGTCTAGCCAGTATCTATCTGGGACATTAGCTGCTTTCGAATTATTCTAGGCTACACAGCTGCCTTGTGGGCCACCTGAGGCCTTCAAAAGCTTTGAATCTAGCTCTCTATAACTCTTCCAAAAATGGTAATGATCAAACTGAAAATTACAGTGTTAAAAGGAGAAATTATTGCCCATCTACTTAGTAAAATGTTAACTAAGTTTTCTTCTATTTAAGCATTTTTCCCAGTCACAGCTACTTTTTGGAATGCATGATCAGCAGTCAAGTGGCTCCAAAAACGTTGTGAACTTTGGGCCTAGAATTAGATGACTGAGTCTGTCCTATAGCCATGCTATCAGCAGTGGGGACTCAAGCTGTGAATTCTCACTGAAACTTTATCTAAACAGTGGGATCATATACTTTTGCTTACAAAGCAGAAAATTATACATTGTGCATATGGGCTGTAAGATTAAAAAAAAAACACCAAACCCACATATTGAAAAAAGGGACCAATCTAGTTTGAAATCCACTAGGTACACCTTCCCCTGTAACCCCAGAAGAGCCCAAGACATCTGTCATCAACTGAAAGTGGCAGAGTACATAAAAATCTGTGTCTGCTTTGTACAGGGAAGATGTTTACAAATGGCACATTATGCTATGGTCACGGGGGAGGGGTGCTTGAGGGGGGTTCAATAGAATCAAGATGGCCTCTGTGACTGCTCAAATGAAGCCCCACCGTTTTTATGTGTGTTGCATATGTGATACACGTAAAAAAGGGAAGGGAGTTCCATCATGTAGTCATGGACACCACCTTGACTTTTTGGTCCTCCTGCAGTTGCCCTTGTAATAGCATGTCCCTTTACTGCATCGCTGTTAACCAAGGCCTGTTGAGGGAGGTAGAGGCAGCAGTACCAACACCCAACTTTTGACTGCAGCCCAGCTTTCACAAGGGAAGAAAAATCCGTCTCTCGAATCATCTCACTGCATCTCATTTCAAATGCTGGAGACAACGTAACAGCCTTCCCTTCGCAAGCTGGTTTAGACAGGCAAATAGTTTTCTATTAAATATTGTTGTGGTTGACTAGATTGCACAGATCTCCCATTCCCCCTTTAAACCTGACCTTAATATTTTATTTATTGTTTAAAGGATAATGTTCCAGGCAGAGGAATCTATGAGGCAATAAATGGATTGTGCAGGTAATTAAATGACGAACCAAAGCCAAGAACTACTGATAACCATAAAAACCATTTATTTTGTCTATACTCCAAAGCTATGTGCAGCAATTATTGTATGAGGGAAAGAAGATTGAGTGCTACAGGACTAAGTGAAAGGCAGAATAAAACAGCACATTTATAGCATACGAGGAATTGAATTCAAGTTGTGTTTGTGGTGTTTTTCCCCCTTCAGAAGAACACTTCGAAGTCAGGTGAAAGACACATGTGACTGTTATGTCCAGCCATTAAAAGATTATTTAATGAAATCCTTAAAGCATTTAACAAATTAATTACAGTTTGGATAAAAGAAATCAATGACATTATAAAGTTTAATTTTCACAGCCTCTTTCCCCAGTGTATACTAAGAAAGTCTCTTTATTTGGCAGGTCTGAAAATGACATAGATGAAAACAACAACAAAAAAACAATCTCCCAAATCATATTTGCCTAGAAGCCTAAATACATGGGAGAAGTGAAGTCTGACGTGCATAACACAAATGCTTTTGAAAATAGATTTTTTTGCGTCAACAAAAACACATTTCACAGAAAGGCCAACAGTTATGCCGAATGACAAGAAAACTCTCTCTCTCTCTCTCTCTCTCTCTCTCTCTCTCACACACACACACACACACACACACACACACACACAAGGGAAGAGGGCAGGACCTAAGACCCAATTTGAATCCAAGGGTTTTGTTATTTTGGATCACTGCAAAAATCCTCTTACCTCATCTTCCAGCAAGATTCACGTGCCCCAATCAGCACCATAGCTTTTAAAAGAATGTAACACTCTCCTTTTCTCTTATACACAATCACAAAGACTCCCTTCTGCTGCTTTGCCTTAACCTTCCTAACTCTTCCTGTTGTTTCCTGCAGCCCTTCCTCCCTAGTGCTACTTCTCACTATGGTGTGTCACTCTGACTACTCTTCAGTTCACCCTCAGCCTTCTCCTGGCTGTCTCTTGCCATTCTAAACCAGACAAGGGCAAGATTCTGCTATAATACCCTATTAGCAACAAAGCTCACCCCAGAAATTCAAATGGTTCTCATTTCCTGAGGCTGCTACCCTTGAAAGGCTTGACATTGGTTTTGAAGGCCTCCAAAGTAGTTCTCCAGCACAACTTATACCTAGCGTACTTAAGACAGAATTACTTTGTAGTTCTTTCTCACATCCCCCTCCCCCCCCCCGCACTCAGGAATGTTTACTGTAATGCCCCTGCTTCCTCCTACAACAATCAGGCTCCCTCCTCTCTGTTCCCAGGGCCTGCTAGACATTCCATCACAATTTGCAATGGGAAATGGATGGTTGGGAAGACGTTTCTATGAATCTTTTTTTCCTCTGTTTTTTGCCACTCAGAGAGTGGAATGTATGTGTGATAGGTAAAGGAGTCCTCAATTAAATTCTTTTTCCTTCCCTGAAGCTGACATTGAGTCTACAATCGACAAAAAATATTGGCAAGATAATTCAGACTAAGTGGCAGCACTTACCAACCTTGGCTCCTCCCAAAAAAGCTAAACAGGGTCAGATCCAACAGTCCTTTGGTAGGAGATCCCAGGACTGTAGGCCAGATTGAAAAATGAACAATGCCCAGGAAGAAACCAATGGCAAACTACTATTTTATTATTACCAAGAAAACTTTATGGAAACACAACTCAAAGAAGATTTTAATTATATGACAGTATCTTTTCTTTCCCTGGTGTTGAGCTAATTGCATTTTAGAAACTTAGAGCTAGAAACCACCATGAAGCAGAAGAGCCAAAACTCCTCTCACAGTAATGCTGTTGTAATCAAAATGGGATCCAATATTCCAAAATAATGTAACATATATTTTAGAAGTGGAGATTGAGTCAGAGATCTCCTACATCACATCTGATTTGGGATGCAACTTAAATATGTATGAAAAAAAATTTAGTTGGTGAGGAGCAAAAGCCAGCATTATATATTTTGGCACGATGCAATAATCAATTGGAAATAATTTATTGGGATATATATTTCTATATTTCTATAGTCCTTAAACCTACCTGATTCCATCTGACCATTTTCATACTCTTCTGGGTTTTCAGAAGTGTTATATTGAGGAAAAGGCTGGTTGCTGAAAAGATTGTCGCACAATAAGTTACGGCAAAGCTTTTTGAGGAATCGCAAAACGTAACCGATACTGTTCACAACCGGGAGACTCAAAAGGTGCTGTTTTCCTTCAAAAGAGGCAGAAACTGATGGAGAGATGGAAAAAAAATTGTAGGTATTCACAGTGTGACACTTAAAGTAGACTGAGGTCCTTTTGACTGTGTATGGCCCTTCCCTGCCCTGGATCACCTGAGGCCAATACTGTGATTGCTTATGGACTTCTGGGAAATTCACTAAGTGAAAGGTGAAGGACTAAATAATATGGCTTATCACAGGTATGGGTTTTGTTCTCAATATTACACAGAAAGAAATAATTTTGAATATCTCCTCCAAATCACAGTGGATTATCTCCAAATCCATGTATAAAGGTTGCTGTTACTTCATCTCATCATTGCACACAGTCAAATCAACCTCTTTTGATGAAGGTTTTGTGTGGATGGATGTGATTTTCTATCATCCTGGAGTATCAGAACAATTCACACACTGATCTGGGGGAATCTCATAGCAATTGTTGCAGGGGCCATAGTAATATTAGTTGCCCATTTGAAGAAATTCTAATAGAATTTTCAAAACTAGATCACATAATAGTTTGGCTGCTTCTATTTCCCTATTACAGTAGAAGATATTACCCTGGACTGGGAGAATAGGCTTGTGTAAAATTATCTATAGCAAACATTTTATATATGTGGACTTGATCTGAATAAGAATCATCCCCACCATTGGTATAGTGAAGCTTTGGCCTATGTCAGCCTTATGCAAGCACAATTCCTATGATTTCCAGTCAGCCCAACCATTTTTACACTATCAAGAGTTGCTAATCTATACATTTTCCATGTTAATTTATGTTACTGAAATGTTGCCACTTTGCAGTTGTGGCAGGAGAATTCTTTGGGTCGGGGTTTATGCTAGTGGTTCCTGAACTTTGTCTTTTAGTTCCATCAAAAAGACCTCAGTGATCTTAAAAACAAGTTATATTTCATTCTTGGTGCACTGAACTGAGTCAAATCAGAGGCTTTGAACTGCCACTGTAGTCATGTTTATAGGAATTCAGTCCTAACCACACAAGAAAAAAATAATAATTTTACTGGATATAACAGCCTGGTATGTTTTCAGAATTCAGCTAAAATATTTTTTGTGTATGTTTAGTTTTTTGTTCTTTCAGCACAGGTGCAAATAGGATCAGAATGCCCAGAGGGGAAATGAAAATGGAAACAGAATATAAATAAATGTTGCACTGTGGGATAAAGCTTAGAATTGCACAACATGGCAAGTCTCAGTAGTGGAGTAAAACAGACTTAATCGAGAAGATAATTGTCAATATTTCAATAAATTATTTCTTAAAGCATATTTCTTCATCTGTATTTTAAAAAGAATGATATAAATATTGTAATTCATTATTTTATTTCAAAACTTTTGTAGATATGGATTATTTTTTTAAAGCCATGAAATATGGATTAAAACACTTCAAAAAATGGAAAACAGTATCCTAACACTGTACAATAGCTACATAACCTCTCTGTTCTTTAAAGAGAATGTGACCTAGGGGATAAAGATTCATTCTTAGTTTATGATCTTGTCTTCACAGAGGTATGTATGTATGTATGTATTAGATTTCTATCCCCCGCTTCATTTTCATTCAGAAGCTCCAAACAGTGGAGGTAGCATTCCCTCCTCCCATTTTTCTTGACAACAACCCTTGAAGTAGGTTGGGTTGAGAGAGAATGATTGGCCCAAAGTCACCCAGTGAGCTTCTGTGGTTGAGGGTAGAGTAAAACCTGGATCTCCCCAATGGCAGTCCAGCACTTCAACCACTGTACCACATTGGAATCTGTATTAATCAGGAACTTCAAAATTAGGAAGAAGCATGTGGCTGTCTTTGTCACAGCAGAGGACAGCACCTGTTTGACCCTAGCTGATGTCAACAGGCTGAGCAGGGTAGGAGTCGATTAGAACTTGTTTAGGATACTATCATGAAATCCAAGGGTTGTAGGATAGACTAGGAAAGGGAACAGACAAGAAAAGTACATGTCCATGTAGCCACTAGGAGTCAAACTCAACTTGACACTTTACCTTAAACACCAATATATAAAAGTTATTGTGGAATCATTTAATTATTTACTGTCACATACAAACACATGTGAGGCAGAGAAACAAGCTCAACTATGAAATCAGATGGGTTGGAAATGCAAAAAATACTGACTCTCTTCAGATGAATTTCCATTGATGAACAGCCTTTCAGACTTGCTTAAGTATGAGATGGATGCAGGGGAGATCTCTTACAGGCATAAAACAAAACCCCACCAATTCTACTTTTAATAATTTTTATCAATAGAAGCCAGACAGATTATTCAAGGTCCATGACCCTTGTTAGCACTTCTGAAAGCAGAAATACATTTACTGCAACGCATTGTCTCCCAGTTTTACCTGACACCATTTCACCTCCGTAGCCCTGCTTGACAAGCAAGAAGACAGTCTTTTGCTGGTGGGCACAATCAATGCATGCCTGAACTGCCTGCTGTAGCACCATAGAAGGTCGTTCAGGTCCAAAATGATCTGGAAGTTGCTGCACTCTCTTTCGCTCAAGGTATGGCCCCACATTCGCTTGCTTGTTGACATAAAGGCAGACTGCAGGCAGAGAAAAAAGCCCTTGTCATTATCTAAAGAGGTCTCTAAAGACTTCATAAAACAAAATTTCCTTTCTGTGTCTCTGATTTGGCCTTGTTTGCTGGAGATTCAGGCCTCTGCAGACCCCACATATCTGGAATCAGGCTGGGAAATGCTGCATTGGATAAATATAGAAATATGGATTTGTTTTCAGAGAATGGTCTACAATTCTGAAGGATTTCCAGTTGTAGCCAGAAATCTAAGTGTATAGAATGAGCTGAAAACCCTGGTTTTATATAATGAGGAAAATCATGAGAATAAAATGTGAAAGAAACCAGGAAAGCCAAATGGTTAAAATGTGAAAAGTCCCTTAAAATGAAGTACTCCAGAAAAAGTTACAATTCCTGAGGAGAAAAGGGCTTCTGGGACTTATGGCTCTTTCTTCATCCATGTTTCTTTACACTTCCCAGAGGTCAGCATAAAGACTTTTACTGAGTCTTCCATCATATTTTATATTCCATACTACTTGTGTTTAAACTTTCAATACAATTTATTGCTTTGACTAAAAGGAGAAAAGTACCTTAATCCAGTTTATTATATAGTTGCACAGAATAATAAAATGACTTATAATGTCATAATTGGGCCTTTTCTGAAACAAAAATGCTAACATTTTATATACCAGAACTTTTTTCTTTTAAGAAGGATACTCTACTGCATGCAGGTCTATGCCTATGTCTTACAGACCTGGTCTCAGTCAAATTAAACCAAGACACATTATTATTGCTGGCTGCAAGAGTATTAGAGTTGTCGTCATTCAGAACATATAGCATCATCCTGTGACAGAAATTAGAGAGGTGACAAAGAAATTATTATGGAGCAAAGAAGGTAGATGTGCAATGTTGAGGATAATACACAATTATTATAACCATAATGAAAATCTAGTGTTTGAAGTGTTAACAACTACTCAGGCGGAACAATAAAAAGTCTCAAAGCACTCTATTCTGGATAAATAGGGGGATAATGGCAATAATAGTTAGCATTACATAGCTCTGTAAGCCACTGAAAGCCTGCTTAACAAAGCAGAAGATGTAAACAAAGCAGAAGAACCCATTGTAAGCACAAATGAGGGGCACAGATGGTTTTCCTAAGTTCTGATGATGAATGTATTCACACAAAAGCACAGATATTTTACTCTCAGCCTGTGGCACAGGGTCTCTTAAATCAGAGTCAGTACATGAGTTGCTTCTGTGCAGCTCATTTTCTATTATGTACAACCACAGTAGCAAACAATACTGAAAACAAAAACAGAGGAAAACACCAGTTTGGAAAGGCAGCTCACAAACTGATTGATAAGCTGCCTTGGGGCCCTCAGAAGGATAGGGAAGAAAGCTTTCTTAAAAACATTTAACGTAAAACAAGGCTTTCCTTTTGGTGGATTTGATTCCACATACCTGTGAGGGCTTGTGGTGCTGCTGAGTTGGGAATTGTAGCCGCGTCCTGGGGGATTGAACTAATATCAGGTTCTGGGGTGCTTCTTGGTGGGGAGATTGCTAAAGGAGTCATTAGAACACGAGATTTCAGCTGGAAGACACAACAAATGCTGATCATGAAAACACATACCAGATCGATCCTGTTATACCACAACTTTGAGCTCTTTGAACACCCACATTTCTATGGCATTGCTTTCTTTCCCAGATAGATTGAGTGGAGAAATGAGGAGGAGGAGGAGGAGGATAGAAATAGGTTGCATTTTAGGTTGCCATTCACAGTACTTCCTTAAGGTGTAACTATTTGTTAAGAACTTACAAAGGGTACAGTGAGGAATTATCAGGTTCTTTACACACTCACTCACAATGTGTATCTTAGCTGGACAAGTATTATTAACTTGCAATTAGCCTGTGTCAATACACATGTTTTCATGTATCACATATTGTGATACAATTTAGCTACAACTAAGTAAACCCCACTGTTTTCAGTGGGACTCAAATCACCACTAACTTCACTTGGAATTCAGAAACTTCTCATATGTAGAATTCCAAGTCTCTTGCACAATTCAAAGGCTTTTTGCCCTGGGCAAGAGACCATCCAGGACTTTAGCCACTCCTCCCTTTCCACCTGAAGGCATAGAATCCGCCATCCTAGCTCTATGGATCCAATCAATCCCGCATGATTACAGTGGGGGAAACCTATGGCCTGATGTTGCTGAATCACAGCTCCCCATATGCCTTACTATAGTCTATGCTAAGGGGTGGGAGTTTAGCCCAGCAATACTCAGAAGACACAGGTTCCTATCTTTGGAGTAAAGATACACTGAGCAACATATGATCATGGAATGACTGTGTCTTAGAAAAAAAGCAAACACTTCTGAATTTCAAATCCCCATGAGAGAGTTGATCTCCTTTTTTCTGCACTTCTAAGCTATATTATAATATGGACTAACCCTGCAGACCAAGCACTTCTTACTTGCCCTGGCGTCAGGACGGACCCCTCACTATTCCTCAAGGACAGGAAAGTACCACTTCCTCCTCCACCAAGCCCAGCCCCCGCAAAGGAAATTTTTGCCTCTTGCTCCATATCAAGAGCAGCACTTTGCCATCGGTGCCGGCACAAGCCACGTGGGCAACACATTTGCAGTCTTCATTTTGTTGTAGACAATTTCTCCCTCCTGACTGGCTACCCTCTGGTAGCCACTTCCGTAGCCATTTTATCATGGATTGCTGAGCTGTGTGCCCCCACCCAAAACAAAACCTCCTACTGCAAAATGTCTTTTCCCCACACTGATGGCAAAACAATTTTGTTTTAATCAGTTTACCATAGACTGAGGAAATGGTGGACCTCTTTTTTTTTCTGGACCTACAGAAACGATGGTGAAACTGCCTCCGTTTTTTCCTACTGTGGTGTGTGGAAGAGGAGGGGACTCCCTTCTCCCTTCAGGCCATTCTCTTCCTGAAAGAGAAGGTAGATTGCCACCCCCAGCAGCACCACCACCCGGCTTCTTCTGAGGATCAATGTCACATTCAGTTCAAGTGAGCAGTTCTGTTGTTTTCACTTATTGCAAATGAAAACGAAATGATGTAACAGGACAAGCACACCCAAAGATGAATGCCTGATAGCTGATTTATTATCCATTAACTTTTCAAAGAAATATTTACCATCCAATAGTTGTCTCACCCAAACTAGGGGTCTCAAGGGTAACTTTAAATTCCTTCAGTGATTACTTCCTCTCAGGATGGGCACAATTCGGTTTCTGCTGAAACTACAGGAAGCGCTTTTCTTAACTCTGACAGAGCCATTTTTCTCTTATCTCCTCTTCACCCACAACTGTCCTCAGTATCTGCATTCAACTGCATGTACTTCGGGGGCCCAAAGAAGGAGAGAAACAGCCTCCACATCACAAATGGCTCCCCACAGAGATGACTGGGGGAAACTCCCCCATTTTGTCCAGGACAAAATTTCCATTAGATGTAATCGGTCTCCCTTCCTACTTCTTTCTTCAGCCCAGGTGCCTTCTGCTGTGAGTGGTGTCATTTCTGATGCAATCTTCATTTCAAAAATGACCTCACAAAACTGCAATTCCAAGTACATTTTTAAAAACAAACTACTGTGAAGCGCTTGGCAAAAAAAAGTATTTTGTATTTCTTTTCATTCTCCATCACTTTCCTGTTAGGCCTGAGAACCAAATGTATGCCCCTGTTAAAATATATACACTACATACATACATACATACATACATACATACATATATATGGTGATAGAAAAAGGACCTTTTAAAAGTCAACTATGTACAATCTACATGTTCAAAGACACATTTTCCCCCAATGTCAGGCTGACACAGTATGTAAGGACCTCCAAGAATTACTCAGAACAGAGATACTGCGCCTAGCTGAAGACTGTATGTTTAAGTCACAATCCCTACATCCTTCTAAATGAAGATTTCTGCAAATATACTATTTCCACCATATTGCCACAAGTGTCAACAGTAATAGTGATAAAGCAGATATGATTAAATCCATCTGTTTTTTCCTATAAACGCTACAAGACATATGTCTTTGTAAACAACAGACATGTTTAGCAATTTACTTAGACAGAATTGGGAAGCATATACTTTATGGATGTGCATCCAATTTGGCCAAAGTCAAGATCATAAGATAGAGCAGGATAATGTGAAACAGGTTTTCATATATCCAGGATGGAGAAAATAAGTTTGAACCCACTGCAATTTAGCGAAGATGTTCTCTATCTGCAAATTGGAGTGATCTGCTGTAGCTTTTTCTTTCCTTGCTCTTCACTTCTGTTGCCATCACCACCGTTGCCACAGTATGAATGAGTCCCAGATGAGTACAAAGGCCATGTCCAGCTCCAGCTCTAGTTCAACTCCAGTTGAGCCCAACTTGAGGTTGTCCCAACCATTCAGATTCTGTAGGCTGCAATCGTCCTGACTTGACTAAAGAGATTGGCCTCCGGATGACTTACAGAGGTATACCACTGTCCTAGAGCTACAGGCACTTCCACCCATATTCAATGTATATGCACATGAGCCTTCAAGTCAGTGTTGACTCCTGGTGACTGTCTGGATGAGTCCCTGCAGTTTCCTTGGCAAGGTTTTTCAGAAGCGGTTTGCCATTGCCTCCTTCCTAGGGCTGACAGTGAGTGACTGGCCCATGGTCACCCAGTTGGCTTTGTGCCTAGGTGGGACTGGAACTCAGGGTCTCCTGGTTTATAGCCTGGTGCCTTGACCACTACACCAAGAGCCAGTCCAGGCAGTCATGAGGAGTTGAAAACTGGCACAAAGGCACACACATATTCAGTACCATACATCTATGCAGCTGTTTCTAACACACACACACACCCTAAAATTGTTATGGGGAAGTGCCACCCTATTGCAAAAAGCACTATTCCTTCTATTTTTGTTAAAATGTCTGTGTCAGGCAATGATCCTAGAAAGATAGCATGGTGGCATTTTTGAAACCAGGACCTTTTTACAGTAACTGTAACCAAGGTTGTAGATTCCAGCATAAAGCCTTTCTATTGCCCTGACTTCAGAGGCTGAAGATGGAGTGAAGTCAGTGTTTAGTGTCTACTATTTCTACCAGCAAGGAAATTTCAAGATGTGGCCTTTTAAATAAATAAATAAATGGATTGTGAAATTGACTAGAAACTGACTAGAAGGATTACAGTAGGTTCAACTTCGCTGATAGATTTCCTTGCATTCTTTCCCAATCATAAATAAGTACCAGCAAATGCTAAGCATTCACTTGCTTGTGCCCCAGAAGCTGGGAAGTGTGGTGAAGCAAAAGCAACGTGAATTAAAGGCCCATCTTTGCTGAAAAGTATAAAATGTAGGATTTGTTGGGTTTCAGATAAACTAGTATAGAGCCAGAAAAATATCAAACAAACCCTTGAAACAAGCTGACATACTGGAGATGGGCAAGTCCAGACCCAATCCAAATACAGTATGAGCATGAAGGGGCTTAAGTGTGGAGTCACTGAACTCTGGCATGAAATATACCAAATGTCATGTATTACACCAAAAGGAGGTCAACTACTTGATTTTTTGAATGCATATTCCTAGACTTTCTGAATTCATGGGTAAGAGTGGTTTCCCATACTAACAAAACCAAACCCTAAAGGCCACTTCTTTCAACTGTCTGATGGATGGCAAATACCTGACCTTTTTAAAAAAATGACAATTTGTGACCAAAAAAAAGGGTCAATGTAAAGCATTTATAGTGACACAATTAAATGAAGCTAAAAACCATCAATTTCAAGACAGTCAAAGAAGTCTCTGTGAGTGTTCTAGAGAAGGAAGGGTGTGGGAAGCCAAGATCACTCCCAATGGGGTACCTGCAAGACATGTGTTGGTCCACTAACCTACTGCTGAAATAGAATGTGGGACGAATATTGTCACTACAGGCAAAGTATTTTTTTCAGACCATATTCAACCTTCTGAGTAGGAGGAACATCTTTTTATATCTCTATTGAAGCAATTTTTGTGACAAATTACAATGAATGGGAGGCTAGACAAGCATTATGTAAGATCCATCCAGGGTCAGGTGAGGAGAGTACAAGTCTCCAGAAATTGTTACTTTATTTTGCCCAGTGAAGGAAATGGAGGATTAACAGCCTGAAATGAAGTCCACCACAGAATCATTGTAAGTGCTCCTGATTTTTCTGCCAGCCTCCTTAAACTTTGTATTTCTTTTTTTCAATGGATTATATTTTTAAAATCTTTTTTGTAATAACACTATAAATCCACAGAGTCAATCCAGAGCAGTAGTGGTGGGGAGGGAAACTTGTCTAATTTAAAGAGACCTTTCACGTAGACAATCAAAAGCAACGGAGAAGAAAATTGCATGCTAGAAGTCCTAATTTGGATCCGATGTAGAGTTTATAGAACACAGTAAATCAATAAATGAAATGATCTCTTTTGTCTGCCAAAATGAAAATCACCAGATATAAACAATTTGTCTTTACGTACTTCTGCCTATCTTCAAATAGTAAATTTGCATAAAAATAGTAAAAAATTTTTACTTATGCAACTTTAACCTGATTTTTATTTGTCCCTTGAGTCTTAACTCTCT